CTGGAGGCGCTGTTCGACTGGGCGTTCGAGGGCTTCGCCGCCTGCTCCCGGTCGTGCGGCGGAGGTAAGCCTGCTGGCTCTGGCCCAGCCGTCTCGCTAGCCGTCCTCTGTCCTCCCCGCACGCAGCAGGGCCCTGCAATTGCCCTGTTCCGAGAAGGATGCGCGGGGCAGGGGTGGGAGGAGAGGCTCACCGAGGGAGGCACGCTCGGACGTGTGCTGGGCCTCGGTGGCTCTCGGGCTGTCTGCAGAGTGACCGCCGGACTCGCGCCTTGCCCCGGTGGGAGTCCTGCTGCTGTCGCCACATTCCGTCTCAGGGCTCTCGGGCAGTGTGAGCCGGGACCCAAGGGGTAGCACATGCTGCGATTTCCGAGAGCACATCGGAGCCCGATCGACTCAGGTGCTTTGCAAACAAAGGTGAAATCAGCACCGTGTGTACAGGGCCTGGAGCTGGAAAGACCGATGATCAAAGTGGATCCCTGGCGTTCCACGATGAGGAAACCCAGAGGGAAAGAAGCAGAGCGACCTGCTCAAGATCTCACAGCCAGAGAACGGCGGGGCTCCCACTGTGGAGGCTCCTGCACACCACGGACGGCTGTCCTACCACATTTCTTCCAGCACATAGACCATTCCTGAGACCCCCGATAGTAATATTACTTAACTCAGGTCAGATGTTTCCGTGTGTATTCACCTGGTCTGAGTATATTCCACATTGCTACAAAATTACCTTCAGGGAAGTTAAATTTAACTTGACAATTAATACATGTGGATATGTGTATGGGGTACAGTATGATGTTCTCATGTACACAGTTTAGAAAGAGTAAATCAACCTGATTAGTGTGTTCCTTCAGTGATTCTTTATTTGAAATGTTATAAAAAGGATTATAACAGGAAATACACTCATTCAAGATTAAGCTTTCTTACCACTGTAGAAAATGCATCAGATTTCTAATGCCACTGTCTTGCACATCTTCTGAGAGGTTTTGGTAGGCAAGGAAGTGTTGACTGACTGCCAGATTCCTTTCACTGGTCCTCAGAAACAGCTGTTGGTATGTTAATGTTCCACGCCCAGGAAATTTCTGCCTTAACTAGTGAAAAATTATTTGCCTGAACTGTTTTCTAAGCTGTGACAATTATGGAAGTTTTTAAGTGGCATCTTTTGTCACAGTTGAGAATTAAGAAGAAACGTACCACGTTGTTCCCATGTAGTTGAAAAGGAGATAGTAGCAGAACAACTACTAGCAAAGAATGTTTTCCTCAGAGTCTTTTTAAGTATTTAATAGTCCTGACCTTGAGGTTCTTATTTGTTTCCACGTTTTCCAGTTTTAAACTCCAGAATTGTGAAGTATTTTAATGGACAGCCCTGGCAATTTAAAACTGAAATTCTTTCCAAGGATTCTGGAAGACAGCTTCCTGGAACTCAGCTAATGAAACTGTATTTATATGGTTCTCTTCGCTCACTTTGAAGACTTCTTTTCTTTATTGCCTAATGAAGGAGAAAGATCAAATAAGCTTTGGTGAGCACTGAGCTTGGGCAGGAGCTGAGAGTGCAGGGGAAAGGCTGTATCTTCTTTCCCTCTAACAAATGCCTCAGTTCAGACATTTGTGTGTTATCCTCAGTTTCCACGATAACTGAATTGAGTCATCATTACTTCCAGTCAAAAACAAGTATGCTTTGAAAACACTATTTACAGTTCCTCAGTTACACTCCTGGTACAAGTCAAGCCTGGAACTTTATGAGCAGGTGGAAAAATAGATGCATTAACATAAATATCCAAATACCTTTCTCTTTAAGAGTCTAACCATTCTGACTGACTAGAGGTTTAAGATGGGAAGTCCAGAATGCATGTGGAATTTATTCATTTTAAGTGTTTTCAGAAGAGATTGATTTAGAAATAAGATGTGGCTGTTTGATGTACAATTGATCTCACTCTGCAGGAATTGTCTTTGTATAAGATTCACATGCGTTGCCTATCCTTTATGTCTATGGGAGGGCAGAGTTACTAGAAGTTCTTAGGTCTTTCAGTATCATTGGCTGATCCCACTTACCTACAGTTATGTCGCTGTGCCAAGGTCATATTTTTACACCTAAAATGTTAGGGTTGAAAACTCCAAAGTGGCGAAAGTAGGCTTGGGTTATATGGGCCATATGATTGATGCCCATATACTCTGACAAGTTGTTTCAATATGTGGACTTGCATATTTTCAAGTCATTGCTTGGCAGTTACATTTTATTGTATTATCAACTTTGATCTTTCACCAAAATATAACTCACACAACTACATATATTTGTAATCATTTTTTCTGAAACTAACCAAAGGTGCAAGATTAACAAATAGACTTTAAATTATTTTGGGGTTATAGAGCCTGTAAGGCTAATTTTATTGATTCTGTAATCTCAAGAGATGAAATATGATAGACACAAAAGTAACCTTTCACCTAGCACAGGCAACAACCAGAAGGGACGAGTGAGTAAGTCAGTCTGCAGTCAGTGGCTTCGTTTCCCCAAGCTGTCGTCAAGCATCATGTAACAATTATGTTACTCTGGGAGATAGAAACGCAGAAAATCCCACTTTCTGGAAGACTGAGTGAGCCTAACCTGCTCAGGTGTGTCTCCTGTGCCCCCGATGTCACCCCCCCATCATAATCTCCCACATGTGAATCGGCGGTGCAACCCAGGAGGTATATAATGAAGGACCACAGCTTTAACCCGGAACAGCTGTGTAACATCTCATTCTTCCGTGTTAAAAGCCACATGAAAATCTAGCTGAGCACTCGTCGCTCCTTTTTCTTTCGGAGTCTTCTCCCGTTCTGCTCTGTCAAGAAGGTAAAACTGGGTCCTAACGTACTGCTCAAACATGGCTCCGTTTGAAAGGATAGTTCCACAGCACGTTTTAGCCCTTGTGGAAACAACAGGGCTGGAGAGCTGACGCCTCACGCCCTGGACCCCCGCCCCTCCCTGACTAGCTCTCCTGACCAAAGGTGCGGTCCTGACAGCTCCTTCCACGGTGCCCACCCCCAGGCACCCCCTCCCGGCTCCTTCCCCTGCTCCTCCTCTGTCACCCTATGGGAATCTGCGGTGTGTTGACCGCAGGGCTGGCCCCATGCGCCTTGAATACCACCCAGCCTCTGTCTTGGTTCCTGGGTTCCCTGCCAGCCGGGCCCCACTTGAGAAAGCTGACTCAGCATACACAGCCACAGCGGCAGAGAAGCCACACAAGTGTGCAGAGGCCTTGCCCACGGCTTTCTACTACCTTATGTTAGGGTTAGTAGCTCTGGAAAGCTTCTTAATCTCAGCCCTTAACCACTCTCTGGGTGATTTCTATCCGCATCTATGAGTAATGGTTTCTGGTGATGTAAATTTGTTTCAGGCATCTAAGAAAGATTACTGGTGTCCTTTTAGAAACTTACTCCTTCCCTCCCCCTTCTCCTGAAGGCTTAACGGGGCCAGATGGAAACAGGTCACATTCCTCATAGCCTGACTCACACACCTGAATCAAGCACTTTGCCTTCTTTTTTAGGTGTGAGGGGTGAGAAAGGGTCTCACCGTGTAGTCCACACTGGCCTTAAACTCTCCAAGATCCTTTTGCTTCAGCCTCCCAAGTACTGGGACTACAGGTGTGTGCCGCTATGTCCAGCCTGAAGCACATACTTTCAAGGAAGGCATGTGACCAGTCCTGTGCTCACTTCCTGCCTAGGTCATCAGCTCAATTTTGTAAGGTTTTTAACATCTGAATGAAGCCAAAATACATCTTATTCTAGAGCAACATTTTGAAATGTTTAGTGTTTAATAGTACCAAGTAGGCAAATGAACAGAAAACAGAATTTCATGAATTTCAGGTGGCTCATTCAGCTATAGGCAGGAGATGATCCACAGTCCAGATCACAGAGTGTAATGGAGTAGCTGGGATGAGAGTGTAAGTTTCAAACAGCCCACCTAGCTCAGCCAGCTTTTTTGTCACTGAGACACAGTTTCCTAAGTGCACGACCTAAAGGAGAAGAGGTTTGCTGGTGGTTTCAGTCCGTGAGCAGCTGCTACGAGGCAAATGCACCATGGTGGGGTGGGGGGTGGAGGAGGAAAGCATCAGCTGCTTACTTCACAGTGGCCAGGAAGAGTGGCAAGGGAATAAGGCCACAGGGGAAGGAGTGAAGGACCGGGCAGAGCCCCCAGACACACCTACAATGTGCACTACAAATGCCCCAGGCATAATCCGGAGGCAGTCAGATTGAAAGTTCACCCTAAGGGCCACATCCCAACTTCTACTGCCACCACCACCACCACCATTGCTGCTCCTCCTCCTGCTCCTCCTCCTCCTCCTCCTCCTTCTCACGCTCTGCTGTGGACGGTCTGCAGCCTCACCAAGCAGAAGCATTCTAGCAGGAGACACATCTGCAGAAAGCCTGGAGGCTGGGGCTCCAGGAAGGCATGGAAGGAGCAGCCTGGGCACTAGGGTC